CACAGCCATTTGCAACTCCAGACTCAGGGGACTGGGTATCTTCATATGATCTCCACAAGCACCAGCATGCAGAGTGCATTTATACACAGGCAAAACATACATACACATAAAATAAAAGTAAATAAATTTGAGCCCAGCATGGTGGTGTGTGCCTTTAATCCCAGCACTCAAGAGGCAGAAGCAGGCTGATGTCTGTGAGTTTGAGGCCCAGGTTGGTCTACAGAGTGAGTTCTAGGACAGCCAGGGCTACACAGTGAAACCCTGTCTCAAAAAGCCAAAATAATAACAATAACAAAAAAAATCTTTAAAAACTAAAATTGTGTGAAAATAGAACCTTATTGGGAAAAGTCAGCAGAATCTTGAATGTGTCTACAAGGTTAGATGATGCTGAATCAGTTTGAACTTCCTGATCTGCTGAAGTTAAATGCCTGAATGTGTAAGGAGTGAATGAGCTCTTGAGTCAATGTGTCCTGATGACATGGGCACAGCCATGTCAAGCACCCCAATGTATCAGCCCCATGAGAGTGTCAAAGCCTTCCCCTGGGTGAGGTTCAGAGAGATTACAAAGCCTTCCTCTGGCCCAAGGGCAAATACTAACAGTGTATAGACAATGCCTCTCATAGATTTCTCCCCCTGGATATTTATGGCCTGAAGACAGCTCCCTATAGAGACTGTCCCTACTGCCTCCTTGTTTATTGATATTCAATAACCATGTCTCCCTGTTCAACTGCATAAAATAAACACACTGAGTTTCTGAGGGGCTTCGGCTCCTGCATCCAGGAGCCAAGCCACCAACCCCAGCATATGTGCTTGTCTTTTCTTCATTCTCTCAATGTCCCAGTCAGGTTAACACCTCAAGCATGCTAGATGTGGCAAGGATGTTCCTGGGTTTTGTGTTTTGTTGTTATTTCATTTTTTGTTTGAGAGAGAGTTCTCTGTATAACAGCCTGTAACTCACTCTGTAGACCAGGCTGGCCTCAGACTCAGAGATCTGCCTGCCTCTGACTCCCAGAGTTGGGATTAATGGTGTGCTTTTAGTCTGGCTTATTTTTTTTCAATGTGTGATGCTGTGTGGTGTGTGGGCACACATAGAAGGACCTCAGATGTCCTGCTCTGTCACCCTGCTTTATTCTAACCTTAAGACAGGGTCTCTCACTAAGCCTGGAGCAAGGCAAGCTACCAGCCATCCCTACCAATCCTCCTGTCTCTGCCCCCTAAAGCACTGGGAGTACAGACATGCACAGCTTTTTACATGGGTGCTAGATAACCAAGACCTTCTGAGCCATTCCCTAGCCCTTATTTTTTGTCTGAGAAAGTGTCTAGCTATGTAGACCAGGTGGCCTTGAATTCATGATTCTCCTGCTCTGACCCACCAGTGACAGAATGATAGGCATGAGCCACCACACCCAGATGAGATTGTTTTTGTTTTAAAGAGGTATGTGATGGAATGTTTGGGTGGAGACGGGTGCTGTGCCCCAAACTGACTCCAAATGCTTCAGGGGAGTAAACAGGGCCCCAAACCTTAGCATAACTGGCTCCATGATGGAAGTACCATCAGGCCATATAATTCAGCATATAGACAACACCTCCTGCCAAAACTAAAACAAAGGCCTAATTCATCAAAGTCTATATAGGTCTGGGAAAATCTCTAAATGTATTAATCTTGCTTTTTGACTACTGTAGTTCTGCTTCTGGCTAACTGATCTTGTTAACTGAAATATGGACATGTTTTTTTGTGCTTAAAAGCTCACCCTGAGCCTTTTCCCTTTGCTCTTGTCCTCTATCTCCTGTCTTTGTGTGTTATTTCCTGCCCCTTGTCCCTCTGGGGCAAATAAATCTCCTTTGTACTGAAGGAAAAAAAAAGCTCACCCTGAGAAAGGCTGGGGGCTACACTGGGACACAGAACACCCAGTGGTAGTCATCAGCCAGCTAATAAAGACTTTCTATTGACTTAAACCCATGTCTGAGCAGTCTTATCTGATGAATGTCCTACAACAGGGAGAGGGCAAAGTGAGGCAAATCTATGAAGTTAAGGGAACAATGGGTTCATTCCCATGTATATCAACTATTCTACACTTTAAATTAGTCACCTATCTATTGGTTTGAAGTTATTTCAGAATAAAAAGAGCAATAACTGGGTTTGATTGAGCACACCTTTAATCCCAGTACTCAGGAACCAGAGACAAGTGGATTTCTATGAGTTTAAGGCCAGCCTGGTCACATGGTTAGATAGAAAGGGAAGAGGAGGAGGAGGGGAGAGAGAAGAGGAGGCAAAAAGGGGGAGAGAGGACAAAGAGGATTGAACTTATCACAGCATGGGTAAACCTCAAAAACATTGAGCCACACATAGAAGGCCACACACACACCACACACGTGTGACTACACTGACATGGAATGTTCAGAAACCAGAGTCAGAAGTCAGGTGGCAGCTGACAGGTGTGTGTGTGGAGGGGGAGGGGGTCTATTCGGATTGTATAGCTGAAAAGGACTAAATGTTCTTGAATTGTTTACTTGCAAAGGGGGGGGGGATGGTGGAGGAAGTGATATAATTATATTTTAATTTTTAAAATTTTAAAAAGAAAAAGGTGGAATTTTGAACCAGGAGGTGATGGTGCAGCTCTGTCATCTCAGCCCTTGGGAGCTGAGACAGGAGTTCAAGGCTAGCCTAGGTTACATAGGGAGACATTATCTCAAGAAAAATAAAAAATGGGAATTTTCTGTGGTGCTAATTTCACCTTGATTTTTGTGTGCACGGCTGGTTGGCTGTGTGCACACAGATGTGTGCTTGTGTATGAAAAGTGTTTCTGAAGGCCAGAGATTGGCTTCTGCTGTCTTCTCAACTGCTCTCCACCTTTTTTGTTTTGTTTGGTTTTTTGAGACAGGGTTTCTCTGTGTAGTCCTGGCTGTCCTGAAACTCTCTTTGTAGATCAGGCTGGTCTCAAATTCACAGAGATCTGCCTACCTCTGCCTCCCAAGCGCTGAGATCAAAGGCATTCGCCCCCCACACCCAGCCCCTCCACAATTTTGTTTTTTGAGACAAGGTTTCTCTGTGTAACAGCCCTAGCTGTCCTGGAACTGGCTCTGTAGACCAGGCTGGCCTTGAACTCACAGAGATCCACCTGTCTCTGCCTCCCGAGTACTGGGATTAAATCGTGTGACACCACTGCCCAGCTTCCACCTTATTTTTAAAAACATGGTCTCTCACTTAACCTTGAGTTCACCAATTTGCCTAGATTATCTACCCATGGGACCCCAAGGATCCTTCTGTTTCTATCACCCTAGAGCTGGGATTACCAACACTTGACACCATGCCCAGTTTTTCCCATGAGTTGGAGTTAGAATTCTGGTCCTTATGCATACATAGCAAATAGTTACTGAGTTATCCCTTGAGCCCCTTGCCTTGATGTTTCAGTGTGAGCAGTCTTGAAGATTTATTGTTATGTGTACGGATGTTTTGCCTGCATGTGTGTGTATGCACCACATGATGCCCACAGAAGCTAGAAGAAAGTGTCTGGTCTGGTACTGGAGTTTACAGATGGCTGTGAGCCACCACATGGGTGCTTCCTCTGGAAGAGCAGCCAGTGCTCTTAACTCCTAAGCTATCCCCCCAGCCCTATGCACTGTCTTCTGTACTGCTTACAGTCACACATATGAAGCACTGGCCCTGCCCTCCCTACTCAGCCCACTTTTGAAGTTGACATATGATTTTATTGTTGTGTCTGAACACTGGCACCTGGTGTGCACTGTTGAGCAGTCCATGACCTCAGTGCTGATTCTCCCCAACAGCAGCTTTGCCGATGCACAACTCCCCTGGGTGCTCTGAGCCCCAGCGGACAGCCCTTGGCAGGGATCTATGTCTACCCACATTTGGGGTTGTTGGCTCAAGTGTAAACACCCTGCCTGAGCATCATCTCACGGATCACCTCACTATTCTCCCTAGTGACCAATAGGGACATTCTGTCTATCTCACAAAGCCTGGCTTGAGATTCCTTCTACATGACAGCCAAAGGCAAATGTTTCTGAGGTGTGGGCAACTGTGTGTTGAGTCTTGCTCTTAAGGGGAGTCCCTAGTGACGCAATGGAAGCATGCACCCCACCCTGCAGCCAGCAATCACCTGAAGTTTCTAAAACCAGACCTGGCATGGTAATGTGACCTGCCAAAGTCTCCTTCCACCCTGTCTATCCCATGTCCTCATTTTGGTGTTTCAGCAGAGAACTTTTTGGAGCGGAGAGCCCCAAGGAACTAACACACTTTCAGTTAATGAAAGGAAATTGGGAAGCAGAGGCAGGAGGATTGCTCTAAGTGCAAGGCTAGCTAGCCTGGGCTACGTAGTGAAGTGCTAGGTGAACCTGGCCTATAAAGTGAGACTCAAAAAGGAACTAAAAAAAAAAAAAAAAAAAAAAAAAAAAAAAAAAAAAAAAAGCAGAGCAGATAACTCAGTAAAATGCTTGTCCTGCAAACATAAGGACATGAGTTTGATCCCCAGAACCTGAACATACCAAATAGCTGGGCATTGTGGCACACAATTGTATTCTCACTGCTTGGCAGGCAGAGGCAGAAAAACCCCTGGGGTTCACTGGCTAAGCAGTCTAACCTAATCAATGAGCCCTGGGTCCCAATGACAGTCCGAGTTTCACAAACCAAGAAGGGCTTGCCAGATGGCTCAGTGGTGGTTAAACTGCCTACTGTCAAACCTGAGGACCTGAGTTTGATCCCTGGGACACACAGGGTAGAAGAGAACCATCTCCAGCAAGTTGTCTGTCTCTCACACACAGACCCCAACTCCAGCAAGTTGTTCTCTCTCTCTCTCTCTCTCTCTCTCTCTCTCTCTCTCTCCACACACACACACATACACACACACACACACACACACACACACACACACACACACACAGAGTTGTGTGGAAAGTGTTTGTCAGCTCAACTTTGCTCCACCACAGAGCCAGGCAACCAGGTATGCCTGTTGAGTGAGTGAATGCTTCCTGTCTTCTAGTCTCACCTGGTCCCCCACTTTGTGGGCGATGACAGTGGCTCCTTCCTCCAGTTCTGTACTGTTGAGTGGGCGGATCCGAAGTGCCACCTGTGGACAGGGCACATCAAGACCCTCAGCTGGACCATCCACCTGTGGTCTCTGTGCTCACCTGTGGTCTCTGTGCTCTCAGCGAGGAGGTGAGAGTCCTACCCCCACTCAAACCTAGACCCTACTTGCACGGACCTGTTCTTGCCTCCCAGAAAGGCTCTGAGGAATTGGTAGTGACATCATGGCCACAGAACACAGAGAAGGAGCAACTTGCCCAAGGTCACATAGCTGTTTTAAGGGAACACAACTGCATCTTCCAGCCCTGCTATGAGCATTCAGAAGGATCCTGGGCTTTGCGCGTCCCACAATTCTGCCCGGCCCATGTGTAAGGGTTTCTTGGATGGTACATAGATGACATGGGGCCAGTCTCTGTCTTTACTGATCCAGTGGGATTCTAATGCAGTTCATCCCAAGGCCAAATGGGACAAGATGCCTGGCAGGTGGGCCAGGATAAGGTCTGCTCCACAGCTGGGGTTATAGTCCAGACCCTGGGCTTTCTGAGGATCAGAAAGCGGCATACAGGGGTCTGGAGAGTCAGGGCGAGAATGTACGGGAGTATCACTGGGTCCCAGGAAAGTAGGACCCAGGAGTGGGACGTTGGTCCTTAAAGGGTTGATGAGACCTGATCCATAACAAGCACAGGGTTTGGGGTTTCTTGGCTGGGGTAGAGGCTGGATGGGCTGGAGTTAGCAGGGGACACGAAGGAGGGTACTTACCATGAGCTGCTGGTCCTTGGGTTCCATCTCCCTCAGGGCTGGGCTGCCCCGGGCTGGAGAGGGGTCTGTGATCTGGTGGGAGGGCATACTGCAAGTCAGAACTGAAGAGCCCCTAACTGGAGGGCCTCTAGCAGAGTCGGAGGCAAGGAGATCTTCTCAGCTCAGCCCCGCCCTGCTCCCCAGGCTCACTCTAGTGACGTCAGCTGGGTCCCCAGAGGTGGGGCTGGGCCAGCATTGATCTCATTTACTAACCTGGTGTCACCCCTACCTGTCTCTTTGGCCAGGACAGCCCTTGTGTTTTAAGTAGTCCCCAAGCAGCCAGGCAGACCTCACAGATGACATCATGATGGGACCATGATAAGAACCTTGTCCAGCCTGTCTCTTAAGTTCCTCGTAAGACACAGAAGCCTCTGGTCTAGAGATAAGCCCACCTCACAGAATCCTGCAGTGTGGTGCCCAGGAGCAATGGCCACCCACACAGGGGCCACCTCAGGCCAGTATTTGTGGCCTCCCACTCAAGGTGACAAAACAGCAACAGCTGAAACAAATGAGTCGCGTCAGTGACCTTGCTAGTGTCTTTCATAGATGACCAAGTTTCTGGTAGAATTTCCAGCCTTTGGTGTCTGAACACCCGAGAGGGATTAGGATGGAGCTGGTGGATTTACTGCTTCACCTCTTCTACAGATCCCTGGGAAGTCACAGAAGTCCTGTTCTGTGAACTTCCCAGCCCAATCAAGAAGACTGCACCAGCAATGTCACACAGGTAACCTGGGATGGCACAAGCTATTAAGAGCCAGGCTTGGGGCCTGGAGAGATGGCTCAGCAGGTAAAGGCATCTTCTATGAAAACTGACAACCTAAGTTCCCTCCCTGCGATCCACACAGTGGAAGGAGAGTCAACACCCCCCCCCCCCCCCCCCCAAAGGTATATGCCACCATCTCCCAGACCGAAGAATTGTTTGTTTTTGTTTTTTGTTTTTTGAGACAGGGTTTCTCTGGATAGCTTTGTAGACCAAGCTGGCCTCGAACTCACAGAGATCCACCTGACTCTGCCTCTCGAGTGCTGGGATTAAAGGCGTGCGCCACCAATGCCCGGCAAGAGTCAACTCTTACAAGTTGTCCTCCACCTCACACACACATGGCACACACACTAAGTATGCAAAAACAAACAAAACATACATACAACACCCAGGCTCAGAGGCTGTTCAGTGGGTACTTCTCTTACAGACCTAAGTTTAATTCCTGGGATGTGCAGATGGAAGAGGTGCTTCCTGCAGGTTCCCCTCTGATCTCCACAAGTATGCGCAGTGCGTACATGCACACACAAAATACAGTAAGATAAAAACTACTTAAAAAACAAAAAAAAGCAAGACATGTTTAGCTGGGAGGTGGTGGCACACACCGTTAATTCCAGCACTCAGGAGGCAGAGGCAGGCAGATTTCTGTTTTGAGTTCAAGACCAGCCTGGTCTACAGAACTAGTTCTATGACAGCCAAGGCTACACAAAACAAAACAAAACAAAAGTTTGGAACTTAGGTGTTCCAAACACTGTACAGCTTTTTATGGAAACCACACAAAGGGAATGGAGAAATGGCTCAACAGTTTAGAGCACTAGTTGCTCTTCCATAGGACCCAGGTTCAATTCCTAGCACCTACAGAGCAGCTAACAAGTGTCTCTGAGTTTGTGGCCAGCCTGGTCTACAGAGCAAGTTCCAGGACAGCCAAGGCTACGAAGAAAAAACATGGCTCAAAAAACAAACCAACCGGGCTAGAGAAATGGCTCAGTGGTTTAAGAGCACTGACTGTTCTTCCAGAGAACCAGGGTTCAAATCCCAGCACCCACATGGCAGCTTACAACTATAACTGACAGGCGGTGGTAGCGCACGCCCTTAATCCCAGCACTCAGGAGGCAGGGGCAGGCGGATCTATGTGAGTTCGAGACCAGCCTGGTCTACAAGAGCTAGTTCTAGGACAGCCTCCAAAGCCACAGAGAAACCCTTTCTTGAAAAACCAAAAAAAAACAAAAAAAAAAAAAAAAAAAAAAAAAAAAACCCAAAAAAATCCCCCAACTGTCTATAACTTCCAGATCTGACACCCTCATACAAACATACATGCAGGCAAACACTGATGGACATAAATTATTTAAAAAAAAAAAAAAAGCTACAGATGAACCTATGAAACCCAAACTTGGGCTTTTTGTGAGGACTCTGCCTAGAGCTCAGTCAGGCTAACGGCACAGACCATGAGAAACTTCCAGGGGCCCCTGAAGCAAGCCCCATCCTCTCAGAAATCAATTTAGCTGTGTGAGGCCAGAACTATCACTCCTTAGGTCACATTCTTCCTCTTAGCATCTGGGTCAACCCTGGGCATCAGGAAATGTTTGCACAGAGCAGAGAAGGGATTAGGGCCCAAGGAAACACAGCCTCTCCCCACATCCAGCCTCCTGAAGCCTGAGTGATAAAGCTTGTACAAGTACACCCAAGCTGAGCCCTGAGATCAGTCTGTTCTGAGACAGGAGCTCCCCCTCAACTCCAGCTGCACCCTAGACACCAGAAAACCCAGGCTTCACAATTGTTTTAATTAGAAATCACAGAAAACAATCACAATCAATTTTCAAATAATGAAAAGTTTAGCAGTTATTTGAAACCTTTGAATGTACACTGGGCAGTAGTAGTGCACAGCTTTAATCCCAGCACCCAGGAAATGGGGGGCAGGCAGATGTCTTTTAGTTCCAGGCCAGTCTGGTTTATACAGCTAGTTCCTAGACAGCCAAGGCTATTACACAGTGAAACTGTCTCCAAAAAAAGAAAGAAAAACAAAAAACCTGCAAATGTGCTTAAATGTGTGCGTGCCTTTTTCTTCTCATAGCTGTGAAACTGGAAAAATGTATTTTTTTAAAGATTTTATTTATTATGTATACAACATTCTACTTCCATGTATATCCACACATCAGAAGAGGGCACCAGGTCTCATAGCGGATGGTTGTGAGCCACCATGTGGTTGCTGGGAATTGAACTCAGGACCTCTGAGTTCAATTCTGGAACTCAGTGCTCTTAACCTCTGAGCCATCTCTCCAGCTGGAAAAAGACTTTTAAAGAACATCAAGTGGCCAATACTGTGGGGTAAAAGTGCTGAAGGGGACTGCAACCACGATGGAACCTCAAGAGAACACAAAGGAATAAAGAACCTAAGAACCAGGACAGGTGACACAGTCAAAGCACTGATCTTTGTCCTCTGCTGGTATAGTACATGCTCTGCAGGCCCAGCCTGGGGTAGCTCTCTGGTCACAAGAGATGCAGAGCCAGAAGGGAGCCTGCAAGAGGCAGGTTGCATAGAGCATGGCCACAGCTCACCAATTGTGGAGCCCAGCTACACAAGTTTGCTGTCTTCTCTATTGGACACTAGGTGTCTAAGTGGCTGCTCCCCTCTGTACCTGTTTTCCAACCTGCCCAATTCTGGAAAACCTAAGGGTTCTGTGGGGTGAGATGAGCATTTTCTCACAGAAACAGATGGAATACATTACATCTGGGATGTGGTACACTAGGCTCCTGGCTAGATTTCAGACAGGTTCAACAAGCCAGGAGCAAGTGTGCAAACATTCTCACCCTAGGGAGAGGGAATGGGCAGGCCTCAAGGCCAGCCACTGCAAATGGCAAAGAAGAACAAGACAGCATTTTCACACAGGGTTGCTTTTATTTCCACATCCAACCTGCGCAGAGGGCCCCGCCACAGCCTGAACAGGTGTGAGGTGCTGGGTGCCTCCAGAGCTACTGGCACAAGTAAGTGGTGGGCGTGCAGTTCCCCTGAAGGTCTCCAGGGACAGCCAGTCCATGAATAGGGACCCCACTGAGCTGCAGGTGGAGTCTCTGGAAACACCACGGGCAGCAGGAGTGAAAGGAGCCACCAAGAGCGCTGCAATGAGGCCCCACAGCAGACATGGCATAAAAACCCAAACAGGTCAAATGAGAGAGGAGCCTCGAGTGTCCCCACTGTGGACCCAGGGGCTGAAGGCACAGAGCTGTGTCGGGATGGAAGAACCCCGGGTGTACTCGAAGTCCAGAGCAAAAAAGCACAGATGAGAACCCAGCCTGAGGCTCTCTGTGAAGGGTGGCCTCGGATCCTGGGCACGGCACAGTAACACTGCAATAGATGAGCCACCATTTAGTTAGCCACAATGCAAAGGATTATTCACTGACCACACTCCTGGCATGAGAGGTAGTTCCTCTAGCCAAGAGCTGGCCTGCATGTCAATTGCACCCACATTACCCTGACGCTCAGCTCTCACAGTTCCTGAGAGAACCCAGCACCACACACATTCACTCCTGTACTACCAACACTGGATGACACAGTGTTGTACCTGATCCTCCTTCCTGCAGCACTGCCCTCATGCCAGCCTCCGCTTCTTTTCAAGCTTTCTATCAACCACCAGTGATGCCTCATGCCAGCCTCTGCTTCTTTCCAAGCTCCCTATCAACCACCAGTGGTGGCACTACCATCTTGCTGGGGTTGTCTTCTATGTTGTGGTCTAACAAGCAGCCATTGACTAAGTAGGCACCCATTCCTGTCTTCACGTTCACAAGTCTTACCACAGTGTTGAAGTCACTCCTGACTTCCGAGAGGAATGATCTCCTCAGTGACAAAAAACTCGATGGTCTCCTCTTCCCAGTCATCCACATTGCTGTCCAGCTCATCAGTGTCCACCCCTAAGAAGACAGAGAGCAGGCTAACCCCTGGGACGTGGCTGCAATGCCGGCTACAGGGCTCTAGTCCACACCCTCAGGGACCACTCTTATTGAAGACAAGCCTGGAAGCTTGATTACCTCCCCGCAGTTCTAGACGCTCGTTCTTCTGCTTCATGTAGAGTTCCTGGGCCATTTTTCGGTATTGCCGGAAGTCCTCCATCATGGTCCGCCTTCTTTCCACCAGTTCCTATCAGGTGGGGAAGGTTGTAGGGCTGAGCAAGACATATTTGCTCATTCATAGCGACCCCCACTGTGTCCAGCGACCATTATTGAAGTTTGGAAGATGACAAGCAGAGCCTTGTTGGACACACCTTCCATAAAACCTCCCTCACTTCTCTTTTTGATTCTATCCCCTCCTGCTTCTATAAGAAAAAGCCAGCCTCTACCCAGTGTTAGTGGGTGTTGGTTCCAAGGACCAGTGCTGGCCCTCTGTTCCCCACTGTTAGCTGCCCCCTCTCATATGGAAGAACAAGCCAGACCAGGCTCCTGGCACACCCTTCTCACTAGTGCCCAGGCCCAGGCTCCCGTGAGCATCCCCTGGGGCTCACCTTTGAAGCTTTGGACTGGCTCAAGCGATCCTTCTGCTCGAAGATCTTAGAGTATTTCTTCAGATCCTTCTTAATTTGCTGAAATCAAGACAAGTCTCTCAGGATTAAACCTTCAAAGCAAGCACCATTAACTGCTGCCTTCAAAGATGCCAGTGTACACTGAGAGCCTCCAGGTCTAAGAGGATTCAGCCCCAGGGGACCAGCATGCCCAGCTGGGGCGTCTCATTTCATGGAAAGATTCCTAGGGTGAGTCACTCCCAGATCTTACTTAATATCACAACTCTATCCCATTACCTAACACCTCCTAGTTCTTCCAATCCCACTGGGACTTGTTTACAGCCTGTCTGGCTTAGGCAGACTCCTGGGTTTTCTGGGGAGTGGGGAACAGACAAGAAGGATAGGGTTATCTTTTTGCTATACAGCAGAGTCTG